ACTCAGTAATTACGGCAAAAAATACGGCAATGCCGTAACCGTATTAATTTGTAAAATTAATTCTACCACCAACTATACCCAAGACCAAGGAACAATGGAACTCCCGGATGAGGCGTTAAAAGGAGAATCATGGGATGATCACCTGGTTCAAAACAATAAATCAAGCATTGCCCAAAAATGATAAATAAGGTGGTGGCATGGCCGGGAAATAGCAAATCAAAAAAAAATAAGTAAATCAGGTAAATCGTGTGGCCGTGTAAGACGGATGTTTACATCCACGTAGGAGGGATGGTGCAGGAAAGAAATCGCGTTAAAATCAGTAACGATGGCGTGATAGGAAAAGGAGTTTTTTTTTTCTTCTTTCTTCTTTTTAATTCTTTTTTTTTGTTGTTGTTATTTCTGTATAAATAGAGTTGTAATTCGCCCAAGTTTTAGGGCAGAGATCAGTTCGAATAAAAATAAAGAAATTTGAATTAGATCAAATAAAACCCCATTGAGATCCTATATGTTCCTAAAGACCTTCGTTTTAAACCAACAATAAACCAATTCAAGCTTACCTTGCCAAATCATAATCACCCCTTACCCTTTGGTTTGTTGCGTGGTTCTTTTCTTGTTTTTTTTTTTTTTTGGTTTTGTGTGTGCTATATTCGAGTGGCGACTATCTAGCCCCGGGTTTCCCTAGGCATTGCCACTAAAACTATTTATTTACCTAAAAATTTAGCACCCAAGACTTTGGTATTTGAAACTTTACCTCCAGGTCCGTCCTCTTAACAATTTCACAAATAACTTATGATTGCAACAGCAGCTATATTTGGCTACACAGTTATTACGGCAACAACAATATTCGGTAACGCAACTTTATATGGATTCTTTAATGTTAAGCGAAGCGATATCGAAATATAATGAGCATAAATGTTATCTTAATAATATATATACGATAAAAAAATGATTTTTTACTCCGAACGTCTTTTATTTGTTATAAAATTTTTAACATTAAGAGTAGGAAAATGATTTTTTGGTAGCGACGACGAACCCATGTTACGAAAAAAAAAAAAAAAAAAGAAAAAAAAGAAAGAGTATTTGAGCAATCTTTTTGATTACTCTATCAATGATAAAATTTAACCAATCAGTGTAGTTCTGTGAAAAAAAATTGGTGGTCGCAGCTCCAGGTTTTTTTGATTTTTTCGGCCAATCAAATCGCTCGGTAAACTCATTGAGGTAGGCGCTTGAGAACGGCCTAAGTCGATAAAATCGACTAACACGAAATCGAATACAAGCACTAAATTTAATAAAATTTTACAAGATAGCTCTTTAAAGTTTGTATTTTCTTATAATCTATTATAAGATTTACAACACAAAAATTGATTTCAGGATTTTCTGAAGATCTTGTCATTTCCCACCTAGCCCAAATGGTCAAACTGGTCAAATCTATTATATATTATAAAATAAATTATATATATATTTATAAATATGCTATTTGACCAATTTGACCAGTACAGATCCTTCGGTCAAATTGGTCAAATTGGTCTGATCCAATGGTCAAACTGGCCAACTTTGTTTAAATACGGTTGTCATAATAATAATTTAATGATTTAAATTTGATATATTTGTCCTGCAAAACATTTATCATAAAAATAACTATATCAAAGAAAAACTAAATAAATAAATAAATAAATGTATATATGGTTATAATATTTACATAGAGGTGGGATCCGTCTATCCGTTGTATATATTTAACAATTTTATTATAAAATTAAAAATAGGAAAAATTAACGGATATCCGGCTCTCATCTCTATATGAGCATAATAAAATGTTGAAATATCTATTCATCATGTATATTGTTTAAAATCTATATCAAATTTTTTTTCTTTAATTACTCAAAAAGCTTAATTATGTAATTCGTTATATAACACTAGCTACCAATACACTTATATCATCTTCCTTTCCACCTTGATAGTATAACCCTTCTTGCATAGCACGACTTTGAAAAGGGCTTACATTATTAACATCTTCACTAACAGCTTTAGCGCGCCATGCAAGTGAATCACTAATCACTTGAGGATCTACTCTTAGACCACCTTTTTGAGGATTATTAAATTGAGCAATTTCTTCGAGTATATCATCTTCAAATAAATTGTCAAAGATACCATCAGATCCTATAACTATCAAATCTCCTTTTTGAATTTTAATCGTAAATTCTTGAGAATCTTTCGGTTTATCATAAGAATAAATGCCTAATTGGAAGGGATAATTAAAGCTGTGTTGCTGCTCTTCGTTTCTGAATATGATATTATTATGACGAATAACACATATTCCACAATCACCAATGTTTGTTATCCGAAGTTCATCATCTCGTAGAACTGCTATTAATGCAGTCGAAGAACCAACGACACCCTAATATTAAAATGAAAAAATTATATAATTAATACGAATATTTAAAGGAATTGATATTTCCAGATCCATTATGCCCGTAATTTATTTGAATTATTTGATTTACAATTCTTTAAATGAAGATATCTTGAATACTACCTAACTAAATTTGATAAAATTTTAAATTATTATCAAACTTTGCAAATACTTTGAATATATTTCGACAAATATCTAATGAATTTTCGATGAAAAAATTTATTTTATTTTAAGGGAATTGCTATTTGTGCCCCCAAATTTGCTATTCATACCCTCATACAAATTAAAGTTTTTTTGAACTTTAAATTCGATGAAATTTTTTAATCTGAATTTTAAGAATCTGTAGAATTCAAATAAAAAAAAGTTTATTGAATTTGGCTTGGTTATTGTCAAAATATCTTCGTTCAAATTTTTAAAAAACTCAACGGCTATAAAAGTAAAAGTTGTTGAACGAAGGTATCTTAACAACCACTGGGTCAAATTCGATGAACTTTTTTTTTTATTTGAATCCTACAGGTTCATGGAATTCAAATAAAAAAAAGTTCATCAAATTTGGCTTGATAGTTACTGAGATATCTTCGCTCAAAGAATAAAAAAAATTTTGGTTTTTTAAAAATTCGAACGAAGATATCTTGACAATCACCAAGCCAAATTCAATAAACTTTTTTTTTTATTTGAATTCTACAGATTCGTAGAATTCAGACAAAAAAAAGTTCATCGAATTTGGCTTGATTAGCTTCGCTCAGAATAAAAAAAATTGAGTTTTGATTGACGTTTTGAGTTTTTTAAGACTTGAGCGAAGATATCTCGGCAACCACCAGGCAAAATTAAAATAAGAATTTCATCAAATTTTGGTTAGGAGGCATCGCAATATCTTCATAAAAAATTCAATAAATTACAATGGTGTCATGGTCGCGGTTGAAATTTATCAGTAAATTTTTATTGGGCGTGATATTTATTTGTAGTTCTGACTAAGAATTCAACGTCAACCGCGACAAATATAAAATAAAGGATCTGAAAAGAATCGTTGAGTAGCCAATATAAAAAGAATTTACCTCTAATGTGCAATCACGTATACTCTGTTCATAGCTTGCTTGCATAATTTTTGTTGGGTTAACATCCTTAACATTATTATACTTTTCAAGCTCTGTATACGCATAATGCATTAACTTCCGGGAATATAAAGCTGAATTTGCTATTAAAAATTCGTCAGAATCGACATTGCGCCAACTACCAACACCATCTGCAACGCCTAAAGAATCATGTCGTCTAAAAAAACTATCTTCACCACAACAAACACTGAAATATTGTTTGTCATTAACAGTAGATACAAAATTGTTACTATGTTTAGCTATACCGGAAGCACCGTGTATTAAAGATAAAGAATTTTGTGGAGAAGAAAAAGATTTGTCTAAAAAGCTTAAGACAGAATGAGAAGATGGTAAGTGTTTAATTGAAGAAACACTTTGGTATTTATTATGCCTAGACGATTGAGGGTTTAACGTCTTTTTCGATGAATGGAAAGAGCGATAGATGGTATAGCGAAGGGGAAATAGAGTTGATTTGGTAGGATGTGCGATCAGCGCATCAATATGAGGAAAGGTTGACGCGGTAAAAAAAGGATTTGAAGTGAGTTGACGCTTTACGATTGAAGTTATTTCTCTTGATCCAAATGACGGATAAAAATTTTTTTGGAGTAGTTTAGAGAATTTCATTGATTTATTAAACCTTGTATACTGCGAAATAACAAACTGTTATCGCGTGTAAGTCTTTTAAAATGCGTATTTATTATATTTTATCAATGATCACAATAAAGGCAATTTTATTAATATATACAGTAATAATCGAGCACGACTATTTATATCTTATCTCTTTAATCAGACAAATAATTTTTGTTTTGCCCACCAATTTTTTTATCTATCCAATAATCGACTTGAAATGTGTCACTTGAAATCCTATTGGTTTTGTTTATCATAATTGGTACGTTATCTACGTTATCTGATATATCAAATACAAAAAACTGAAAACTGATAGATATAGAGATATCATAACTCCAAATTAGAATTTCTTATTTCTTATACGTATTATCGGTTTTCATAAGTAACAAATTTGATGAACGTTACAGAAGCTCATTAAATTGGGCATGGGTGGGAATTTTATTAATGTGTGAATTTACCTATATCGCTATTGATATTGATACGTATATTGATACGTATATTGATACGTATTGATATTGATATTGATATCGATATGTAAAAATTGAAATACTGCTACGCCACTAAGCGTATTATAAGCTCTATTGTAGTCTAAAACCTATCTTGTACGTATTACTGAAATAGTTATCTATTTAAATCTATTTATTTTACTCCATTTAGCAGTACATTACTTCGCATACGTAGTACGTACGTACTGCTGGATACGTACGTAGTCATTGTATAACAGATAAAGCAAATTTAATGCATACATAAAAGAATTGAACCAAAATTATTTTCGCTGTATATATTAATTCGCATAACTTAATTTATTGTTTCTCGTAACATAGTATAAGCAAATGAAGTTGCAAAGTTGTTTATTTAATTTTAGCTTCACTCGTCCAAAAGTAATTTTTTTTTTAGTTAATAGATAGCAACTAATAAATATTTCCTTTTTGTATTGTCCGAAGCGATAATTAAATGTGATAGTCACGTTTATTTGTTTCCAGTAAAAGCTTTTTATTTTAAAAATTTTTATAACTATATACAGTATATTGTTATATACTGATAGAATTGTTTTAAATTTTAAAATGCATAAATTTAATATAAGGTCAAAATTTTTATAAGCTCACTAATAACTTTTGTGGAACTTATTAAAAGAATGTCTTTTTATTATTTATAATATAATACAAATTATTGGATTCGACCAACAATCACTTTATAGACAACTACAATTAATTCACAAACATGAGACAATTAAGATTATTTTACAAACAATTAAAAATTATTTTACAGAAATTAATTATAGTGCTTTGCAAAAGATGTGACCCATGATTTTTGTGATGAACGAGGAAAATTTCCGAGATTCTTAATTCATATGGGCAGCCGTCAATAGAAATCAAGCAAATCTACATTTTTTAAAAAAATTAATACCTTAACTTTCATAGCTCATATCTCGATAAATTTCAAGTTATCTTGATGATTTAATATTCAAAAGAAAGCTTAGATAGTATGCTTTCTTTTGGATATTAGATCATCAAGATAGCTTTGAGATATGAGCTGTGAAAGTTAAAGCATTTAATTTTTTTTTAAATGTAGATTTGCTTGATTTTTATTGACGGCTGCCCATATTTTCAATCAGGCATATTTATATTTATCTGAAATTAGATTCTTAAAATCTACAGAATCTTCGACTTCCACACGACATTGTGATCTGCAGAGGCCACATCTTTTTACAAAGCGCAATAATTAACAAATTTCTTTATAAGCAATTTATAAACAGCTTATTTTACTAACAGATTATTGTATATACGTATAAAAAGTTTTTTATAAATTGTACTAACTTTAATCTTATTCTAATAAAATACATAATTAAAATTGATTTATTAATAAAATAAATAATTATAAATTAATTATTTGTAGTTATTATATTTTACAAAATATATACAGTATAATAACTATTTATAAGATAAAGAGTATTAAAATTATTAAATTTATTTAATACTGTATAAATTTTTAATCGACTCTACTATTCTGCACCATAGGTGTTCAACAGCATAGGTCCCTATTTCTCAAAAACGTACAAGATAGGTTTTAGAC